TGAAGGCTTCCTCTTGAAATGCCGCTCATCGTCGCTAGACTCATAATCTATCGCACTGCTACTGCTCTTCTTTACACCGGTGGAACAGCCTTGGCAGCAGCAGCAGAGGATGATGACTTATGTTCATCGTAGTAACCATTGGAAGCTGCCTTGTCATGAGCAGAAGAAGATGCAGGTTCAGAGGACAGCTTGCGTATCTTATTGGCCTCTTCCTCAGGGAAACATTTGCGAGAGAAGACGCTCCCCTTATGCTTCCTGTCTGCGGCAGTTATTGTTGGAGATACAGAAGCGGCTTTAGTGGCTGCTTCAGTCTTGGGCTTTGCAGAGGACTCTGAGCGGTGGTGATGGTGGTGGCGGTCACGGTCTTTCTCACAATCATCATAATCGTATCAAATTTTGTGATGCAAAATGATAGCTCATGTGATATATAGTTCAATTTTTTTTGGGTTAAGCCGAAGAAGGAAGAGCTAGGTAAGAATGATGAATTGCAATGGTAGAATCGACGGAGATGATGAATTGCAGCAGCATAATGGGGTTAAAGTAGTGGGTGTTGGGGATTAAGCCGCTGGCGTGGGATTGCATTTGAAAATTTGGAGGAATTGGAGGAATCGATGGAGATGGAGATGGAGATGATTGCAGAAGAAGTGCAAAAAAGCAGGGGTCACCGTCGACGGAGAAGATGAATTGCAGTGGAATCGAAGGATTCGGAGAAGTCGATGGAGATGAGAGGCGATGGAGAAGGAATCGGAGATAGAGATGGAGGTGATTGCAAAAGAGGCAAAGGGGAGGGGCTGGGATTAAGAGAACGGCGTCGTTTTGGGTTGGGACTCCAAATTTTTTTGGGAGGCAAGACTGATGGCCACTTTACCGATTAAATATTGTCTCATTTCTCTAAACTCAAAAGTTTAGAGGGTAAAAATTCATACTTTGTAAGATAAGGAGGTAAAATGCTTTAAACTCAAAAAGTTGAAGGGCAAACTGTGGTTTTGCCCCAAAATTGGGATAAGTGGGCTAATGTTGTTGGACGCCCAGTTTTCTGAGAGGGCAGTGCTATGGGCACTCGCCCGCAAGCACTCTCTCCAACACTTACCCGTTTTACTGATACGTTGTAAAAATAATCAGAGAAAATAGATATATACCGGCAACCGAGAAATAACGGTTACCATTTATCTTTAATTTTCCTCTCCCACACATTGTACTATTTTTTTTAGTGAACTGATGGTGGTGAGTTCGCAGGATTTTTTTTTTTTTTGGTGTATTTTTTAAATACATTTTATTTTTTGACATTTGTTAAATATTTTAATCTTTAAAGGTATTTTAAATATTTAAAGTTGAGTAGGGACAATTAA